TATGATAAATTGTTAAAAAATGTTGAATATTGTGATATGATGAGCAGATGTAGTTGTGTGTTGAATCATAGTTGTGTATTTGTAAAGAAATACTATATGTATCATTTGGATAAGTTGCTTTGTTGCTAAAACATGTTGTTAAACACTGTTGAGAAGTTGTTGTGTTGTTGAATTGTGTTGTTAATTATCGAGTTGACTACGTTGTAAAGTTGAAAGTTGATTGAGATGATGAGTTGAAAAGTTGTGTATTGTTTAAAGTTGTTGAGTTGAGCTGTGTTGTTGAGTTGAAAGCTGATTCAGTTGTGATGATGAGCTGTTGATCACTATAACTAGGGGAGATATTTTCGAAGTTGCTCATCCCATTGTGTGGATTGAGAAAGATGTGGTGCTCAGAGAGCCCAATTTGTTGAAAACCCTCCTTGGGAAGTTGTCTCTTGGAGTGGACGTTATGTTGTTCTCCTCTAAGACTTAGTTGGTCCCCTGTGTGGGCAAGGTCGAGGCACACGTGTACAAAGCGACCACGGTATAGGGGTCAGGTCGAGCTTACCGATTACAAGCGGCCAATTCGAGTAAAGTAAGAAGTCGGGAACTTAGTTCCTAACCGAGTATCGGAAGGTTGTAGTATTTGGAGGATAGTCAGTAGGCTAATTTTATATGTTGCTTAGTTAAGCTAGCTAATGTCGTGGTAGGCCTAAACCCAGCTGTTCTATCTTGACAGAGTACTATACTTCCTTGTTTAAGTGGAAAAGTCTGAGAAATCGTTATCGTGTTGTGGATTGATATCCAAATTTGTTGTTTACCTAGCAAGCCCAAAAAGGTTCTGTGTTGTCGGTTCGGTAGGACCTAGCCACTTAGACTACTTACCCTGTGTTGTAGGAGATCTCCGAGTTGAAATGCGTGACGACACATAAGTTGTTGATGTGTTGACCTTGTGTTGATTGAGTTGTATATATATTGTGATGTTGTGAAGCTGTGATTGAGTTGGGTGTTGTTATGCGTTGAATGTTGAATTGTTGAAAATGTTGTTTTTGTTGTTGAGTTGTAAGTTGTTACATATATATGTTGATGTTTTTCACTAGCTTACCCTTGCGTGTTTCCATTTGGTTTGGACTGCCATGATCATACTATGTATGGGAGCAAAGTAGGGATAGGCTGGAGAGTAGCAGTAAAGCCACATGTGGTACTTAGAGATGGATTTTATTTTGAAGCCTACTAGCTGATTTCAGATGTTTTGAGTAGATATTTATGTATATGGTTATACATAAACTGGAGATGTAGGATGCTTATATTATACTACTGCTTTAGTATATGTATATTGCATAGCTAGACGTGTGTTGCGTAGTGTGACGGCCATGGCGGGTCGTTACAGTAACAGGTCATACACAATGGGAGTCTAGTTAATGCAATTCATCTACATTCGTTATGGTGCCATTAAAATTATGCATAAGTTTATTGCATCTTCTGTTCTAGGTCGTGGCGGCTCAGACGGTAAACTACGCCTAATTGATTTATTATTTATATGGGCAATGATGAAAAATAAGGATGAAAAGATCAACTCTGGTGCATATTTTAATATTTGAATTTATGTTATGTTATGAATTTTTTTTTCAATTTTTGAACCACATTGTTACATTTTGTTGAAATGTAACACTTAAATTTAAACATCAATCCTGGTTGGCGTTCTAGAACGACCCGTTCTGAATCCAGAACAGGTCGTTCTTAAACCATAACGGACCATTCTGATTCACTTGTGTGTTATATTTGCATCTGGAACGGGTCATTTCAATTACAAAATTAACACACAACGAGTGGGATTAGAATGACCGGTTCTAGTTTCAGAACGGTCATTCTAGGTTCATTAAAGAAGGACTATGGAAACTTGCCACGTATGTATCTACGTAGCATCGACGTCATCTACATTTGACACCGTTTGTAAAATTTGGACGGAAAGTCACACATTGACATTTTTTAAATTATTGGGGACCAAATTGAAACAATAAATTATAGAGGGACAAAATTGAAATTATTAATTATTATAAGGAACCAAATTAGGTGTTTTGCCAAAATTTTATATATACTTTTTTATTTTACAATTTAACCATGCATAATATTAAAATTGATATATTATATTAAAATTTAGATTAATCAAGTTTTATCCCATATGTTTTAAGTTGGATTTAAATTTAAATAAATAAATAAAAATTTTAATCGATTCATTCCAAGTCCAAACTTATTCTCACTCTCTTAGTCACCCCTGATCTATATAGTGCATGGACGGAAAATTGTTCTCAATAAGTAAAAAAGGAGCTACCCATGTAGTTTGAACACTATACTGTTGTTTTCTGAACAGCATGTTTACAATATCTACACGTGCACACAATAAAAACATTAAATGTATGGAATTGTCAAAACAATACACCTAGATGTGGACTTTGCTTGTTAGATATAATGACATATTTATTTATTTTAGACTAGTTTTTACTAGAGAAAAGTAAGATTATCTATAATAAAAGATATATGTGATTTAAAAAAATAGTATAAACATAATTTTTAACATTGTCTTTTCCTTTTTATTTTTAGTATATTGAAAAGTGAAAACAATATGCCATATTCCACTCTTAGAACATGTACATTAAAATTATTCTTAGTATTGAATTGAACACGTGTTTACCTCCATCAACTTGAGTTTCCATTTTCCTATAGACTTAGCTAGAGAAATTCCATCGGGAGGAGTACTTTCACTAGTTGATCTATGCATGTGGATCATGGGGACTCGTATATTGAGTAGAATCCAATGGCCCCAAATTCTTTTGGAGGACCAAGAGCATGCATGATATATTATCTTTTCCACCATTGAGCCAACAATTCAATCTCATCAAAAGCCACTAGGAGTCAACAAAGTCGGTGCATGAAAACCATGGAATGAATACGACCCTATTGTCGAGAAACACGATATTCTCATCTTTGAATGAAGTCAGCAACTTCGGCAGCTTCTGAATCCAGAACAGGTCGTTCTTAAACCATAACGGACCATTCTGATTCACTTGTGTGTTATATTTGCATCTGGAACGGGTCATTTCAATTACAAAATTAACACACAACGAGTGGGATTAGAATGACCGGTTCTAGTTTCAGAACGGTCATTCTAGGTTCATTAAAGAAGGACTATGGAAACTTGCCACGTATGTATCTACGTAGCATCGACGTCATCTACATTTGACACCGTTTGTAAAATTTGGACGGAAAGTCACACATTGACATTTTTTAAATTATTGGGGACCAAATTGAAACAATAAATTATAGAGGGACAAAATTGAAATTATTAATTATTATAAGGAACCAAATTAGGTGTTTTGCCAAAATTTTATATATACTTTTTTATTTTACAATTTAACCATGCATAATATTAAAATTGATATATTATATTAAAATTTAGATTAATCAAGTTTTATCCCATATGTTTTAAGTTGGATTTAAATTTAAATAAATAAATAAAAATTTTAATCGATTCATTCCAAGTCCAAACTTATTCTCACTCTCTTAGTCACCCCTGATCTATATAGTGCATGGACGGAGAATTGTTCTCAATAATTAAAAAAGGAGCTACCCATGTAGTTTGAACACTATACTGTTGTTTTCTGAACAGCATGTTTACAATATCTACACGTGCACACAATAAAAACATTAAATGTATGGAATTGTCAAAACAATACACCTAGATGTGGACTTTGCTTGTTAGATATAATGACATATTTATTTATTTTAGACTAGTTTTTACTAGAGAAAAGTAAGATTATCTATAATAAAAGATATATGTGATTTAAAAAAATAGTATAAACATAATTTTTAACATTGTCTTTTCCTTTTTATTTTTAGTATATTGAAAAGTGAAAACAATATGCCATATTCCACTCTTAGAACATGTACATTAAAATTATTCTTAGTATTGAATTGAACACGTGTTTACCTCCATCAACTTGAGTTTCCATTTTCCTATAGACTTAGCTAGAGAAATTCCATCGGGAGGAGTACTTTCACTAGTTGATCTATGCATGTGGATCATGGGGACTCGTATATTGAGTAGAATCCAATGGCCCCAAATTCTTTTGGAGGACCAAGAGCATGCATGATATATTATCTTTTCCACCATTGAGCCAACAATTCAATCTCATCAAAAGCCACTAGGAGTCAACAAAGTCGGTGCATGAAAACCATGGAATGAATACGACCCTATTGTCGAGAAACACGATATTCTCATCTTTGAATGAAGTCAGCAACTTCGGCAGCTTTGTCTTAAAATGGTAGAAACAACATTTACACTTACAAATTGATGCATACAAATTTTCCTTGCCAAGAGACACGGATCATAGCGTTAGGAAGATGAAGTAAAAGTTAAGGTCTAGTTTTCCTCAATTGTTCAATATAGTTTACCCTTTCAAAGAGCAATATACTAAATAAGTTTTAAAAATTATGATCATTAGTTTTTTTTTCTTCTTTTTATAATTATGTTGGTACGAAGTAATCGAAAATGGCAAATATGTATATAAAGTAAATATTTTCCTTCTAAAATGTTTTATTTTATATTTAAAATTAATATTTAAATTTTAAATAAGAGTTAATCACTTATATATTATTAATCATATATTTTAAATTATTTTATTTTATTTTTATTTAATTAAATAAACAAATGACATGACACTATTAAAAGATATTATTAGTTGCCAGTGTAAAGTTATACCGACAGTGTATAGGTGATTAACTCTTTAAATAATTTGATTATTAAAAAGTTAGCCTCTAAAATAAAAATATATATTAATTTAGTTATTAAAATTATTAAATTACAAATATTCTAGTTCATTATGTTACTAAATGATAGTCGTTGTAGTCTTTGAAATTGTGAAACTAAAAATGTCATGTCCTTTCGATTTAACTCAGCTAATTAAGCTGAGACATAAATTATGAGTTTGTGGGTTTAATCTACTGCTGTTTGATCAAAAGTCTTCACCTATCTCCTCTTCTTTCTTGTAAGGCAAACTATAAGTCTTCCCTTGATTCAAAATTAAAATTAAATTAACGATTAAAATAACCTGTTTGGTAATTTTAGAAACTAAAATGATATCTTTATGTGTGTTACTCTCCTTCTAGACATTCTACTTCTATCTTACAGCATTCCAAAATCTAATGTGAACTCAACCACCCTTTCACACCCTCCATTTTTTCTATTCATAAATAACCTTTTTCTTTATGGTTTCAACCATCTTCTCTACATTGCCACTTCCATCTCCTCAAACAGCGCTTTCTAACTTGTGTTTGTGTTTGGAAGAAAAGATTCATTGGTTATGTTATGGCTACACCAAGCAATGCAAAACCTGGTTGCTTCTATGACTTCTTTCACCTACTCTTTTGTGCTGAGAGTGGAAATAGTCCTCCAATAATGCACCCTTCTAACGACTTTACAGAACCACATGCAACAAATGTAGTGCACACAAACAAAGATGCAATAGCCAATCCAACTAAACCAGGAGTGGTGGCTAGGCTAATGGGGCTTGATTCACTTCCAAGTACCAACTTAGCACCAAGAGGAAACACAAACACCACAGATTCAGTTCCAAGAAGTAGGTCAGTGAACTTTGTGGATTACTTGCTCAAGTTTGATACCAACCAAAACCATCACCACCAAGTGAAGACCTCAGCATCATTCAGAGAGGTTCCTGAATTGTTTCAGGACAAGAATCATGACCTAGTTGTGCTCTACTTGGACACTGAAGACCAACAAGTTGGAACCTTATTGAGAAAGCAAGAAATGGGGATGGGAGAATCAAGACAGAGAAAGAAGCAGGGGAGCAAGAACAACAACAAGGAGATTGTTGATGTGAAGGGAAAAAAATTTTGCAAGTTTGAGAACGAGCCTAGAGTGGTCCCTTCTAAGCATAGGTCAAAGGTTCAAAATCACAATGAAGCTCAAGTTTTGGCATCAGTTTCAGCATGTTCTAAGCATTGTAGTAATAGAAAAAAAGTTGGTTGTGACACTAAAGGGTTAAGATCAATCTCCACATCGCCAAGTAAGCAGAAGAAAGTGTTATCTGAACCAAAACGCACGAGAAAAACAAGAAAACAAGAGTCAAAAAAGAGGATAGAGACTGACTGTAGCTCACAGAATTTGGGTCCAATTTCAGTCATAGATGAGTATGACTACTCATTTCTTAGTGGACCTGATTTTCCAGGTTCGTTTTCTGAATGCCCTTGTTGTTTCACTTGTTTATTAATGAATAAAATCATTAACCTTAGTTGCAATTTTTGTTTGCCTGATCCAATTAGGGATAGTTATGGTATGGTTATAACTGATGTGAATGGTGCTTAGTGTGAGTTGTTAAGCATTTGTTAATGCTGATTTCATAGTGAATATTCAAAATTATAGAAAACATAGGTAAAATAAAATATGGGCACCACTAAAAGTTTGTCTAGTATTAATTACTAATTAGTATTTAGTTCGTCACAAAGTGAGAAATTGCAGATTAATTTTTTGTTAGAAGTGTCTATATTAATTGCAGTTTAATTAATGAAATATACATTTATTATTGTAGATTACACAAACCCCTTAAAGTGGGAATGTTCAGAGCAATTGTTACTTGGTGATAAGAATGTTGGAGACAGAGCAAGCAAAGACAAAGGGTTTTCCTACCTTGACATTACCAGGAACACAGAGTATTTATCAGAATTAACTGTGAATCTTCGCAACTTAGTAGAAAATGATATAAGAGAATCAGATTTCACGGGAAAGCGCATGTGTGAGAGTGAAAGTTATAGGGAAACTTGTTTGGAGTATGAACATAAAATTTTTGACATTTTACTGCACGAGGTTGTCAATGAACTCCTGGAATAACATTGAGAATAATAAGAAAAAAAATAGTCTTTTTTTTTCTCCATTAATTTGAATAATTTTCTTGAACTGTATTTTACCCCCTTGTTTTGCGATGCTAATTTTTCAGTAGAATAATATTAATCAAATAAAAAATATTTTACTATATTAATTTATAAAAAAGAAATATGAAAAAAAATACATATAAAAGTTAGAATATTGTATGAGGAAAATCAATGTAAAACCATGAAAATGGATCTATTTAATAGATAAAACAAAACAATGTATAAACGGACAATATACAACAAAACTTTACATATTTTAGGCATCAACCATTGGTATTTTATTTGACTCTCATTTTTTTTAAATTTTCAATGCATTACTTTTTTTTAGGTTTTACTATTTTAAAGTTGTATAATTAATTTTAAAATCTTATTATTAATTTAAATATTTCTTTTTTATTTTTTCCTATTCTTCTTAAATTCGTGAGATAAATCTTTAGAAGAAAATAATTTTTTTAATACAAATTGTATTCAATTGTATTTCTACTTGAATGTATATAAAATTACTTGGAAAAAATTTAAACATCGAAATAAAATTAATCATAAATAAAATTATCTCATCTTTTTAAAGAAAGTACAAAAAATAAAATACTCATGAAAGAGAATCTATTGTATGGGGAAGAAATGGGAAATTATAAAAGATAACTTATATTCAATAAATAAAGAAAAAGCTACATGTATTATTTGCATATAAATGAACAATATGTTACAAAATTACAACATAATTAGTTCCGGTCATTAATTTTTCTACTTGTTTTAATTTAACTCTAATTCTTTTTTTTTCTGAATTTTTAATGCATTTCATTCTTTTTTATAGATTCTATGACTTTTAATTTGTAGATATAATTTAAAATGTTTGGAATTAATTTTAAAAAATAAAAATCTTAAAAAGAAAATGTAGTCTATAAATTTTATTTGACTTAAACTTAAAATATTATTATTAATTTAAAATTAAAATAATTTTGTATTATATTAGAGTACAATAAACTGAATAAAAGTAATTTAAAACTCTAATTAATAATTAATTTATTAAACTTATTTATCAACTAAATGAATTAAATTTAATAAATAAATAAGTTAAACTTGAGTTACATATAATTCAACTCATTTAATTTATGGATTGATTTCTCTTATAAACATATAATTCATATAATTAATTTTTTATTTAATATTAATTTATTAAAATTTAAAAATACTTTTAAAATTAAGTTAAAAGTTTAAAATAATAAAATAAATAAATATATAAAAAATTTATGATTATGAATTGAATTTTCTATTATTTTATATAAGATATATAAATTTTGATTGTAATTATTTTTCTTTAAAATCATGTCTATTAATCTTATAAAATTAATAAAATAAATTATATTTTATCTTTTTAAATAATTATTTAAATACATTATTAAATTAAAATATATAAGATTAAAAAAAATCTCACTAATAAATTATTAACAACTCGAACCAAATTGTATCTGTTGAATAAAAGTTGATGTGAAAGTTGAGTATTTTTAGTCCTATATATTATATTAACTTTTTAAATATATAATTTTATTGTGAATTAAAATACTTTTATTATAAAATTAATTTTCATTTTATATGATGTAATACCCACTGTCTGTGCCTCCAGCTTCGCGATCGTGCCACCGCGTGACATTGTCGTGCCACCACGCACCGCCTCCGGCCGGCGTGCCACTAGCCCCACACGCAACCGACCAGAGAATCCGTCACTGTCAGCGTTCCAATTTAAAGCCACAAGGTAAGTTTTAGTTGAGTTTAAGTTATGTCATTAATTTGAATATCATTGATTGAATGTTCTTATTTAATTTCTGGATTGGAACCGGTTTGTCTGTTTGGATTGCTGCTTCTATTGCGTTGAAGCACTTAGTTGTGCGATTCGGTTCAATCCCAGGGTTAAGCTGGCTGTGTTTCATGGCATATGTATGGTTCATGGCATGTTTGGATAAGCTTTTCTAGAAGCACTTCTAGGAGAGAAAAATGAGAAAACAAATCAAAATGTGTTTTTTCATAAGTTCAAACTAGTTTTTGCATGAGTTAAAAACAAAATTTTGAAAAAGCTACTTGCTAATAGAAGAGAATTTCTACCAAATAGCTTATGAAAATTTTAATTTATTTCATTTCCCTTCTTATTTTGATCTCTTATAAGTGTTTATGAAAAAGTTTACCTAAATAGACTTATTATATTTTAACTTATGGAGAAACTTTTTTATTTTCCTTCCTATTTTGATCTCTTAAAAGTTAGAAATGCTTCTTGAAAAGTTTTGTCAAGACTTAAGTACATAAGGAGAGTCCAATAAAAAAGACTAGTTCATTAGGAGGGAGGGTCTCAAAGCTTAATTAAGTACTACATTTAACTTCACATTCTACTCAATGTAACATTGCCACTCCATTAAGTGGGAGAGTCTCAAGGCTTAATTAAGTACCACATTGAACTTCACATTCTACTCACTGTAACATTGCCACCTCTTTTTAAGGACCAACGTAGAGTTTTCACTTTATTGACATTAACCTGGTTGTCACCCGTTCCTCTTTGAGGACTTCACTCATCTATCAAAATTCGGTTTGCACCTTAATTTAACTTATAGGTAGCCCTTTCTATAACTCAACTCTTAATGAAAGCACCAATTATTAGGATTTAAGTACATGAAAAGAGCCTAACCTAAAAGATTTGTCCATTAGGTGGGAAAGCCTCTAGGCTTAAGTACCTCATTGAACTTCATATTCTAGTCAATGTGGCACTTCTAACAAGTTTACTCAAACAAACTCTGATTATTTTTTTTTATTCTTTTGGATTAGAATCGATTTGCATGCTTTGGTGCTTTCATTGCGATGGTTGCAGGTGTAATCTTGCAAAGGCCTAGTACTACATTTGATAAAGATGAGGGCAATACTTGTTGCTCAAGTTAGGGATTTTGTGATGTTGGGGAAGATTATTATAATGCCTTGGGGTCGATTTGATTGGATTAAGATTAAGCAGGACGCTATATACTCACTGCTTATGGTTTTCTGCTATTTGGTATTTAAACATTCAAATGGTGAAAGCATAGTCCTAGCTAGAGCCTTCACATTCTATGCGTCTTAATTTTTATTCAACCTGTTATTAAACTCATTCAGTGTATGACTTCTTTGTTCTTATTATAAGTTAAACTTGAAACCATCTCAAACTTTTTTAAGGTGGCTTCTTGCTAAAAATTTTTTGTTTGACTAATAGTAGCTGGGAAAAAATAGATGCTAGAGGAACCAAATTGTTCCATCCACTACTTATAATTGATAATTGGTGGTTTGTTAGTTTTTTAATTGTGATTAAAGTTAATAAAGAAAAAAAGCCAGTTATGAGAATCATGGACTTGCTTTCAGTTTTAAGTTTTGGAGTGGTTTTGGTTTCACTATGGATAGACGAGTCTTAGTCCAAATTGATAATTCATTATTAAACATTATGTGTCTTAATTGTTCTTAACCTGTTATTAAGCATTCTATCTTGAAGCTTCCGCCAAACCTTTGGGTTTCTCGCATTGATCATAACCTGAAGTGAAGCCCATGGTGTAAGGATTCTAGCTATCCACAAAGATTCGGAAGTTCATTGATGCCAATTTTATCGAAAAGTATCCTATGAATCCTATGGAGGCAGCTCATGGTGCTCCTATTCCACCACCATCACCTCTAAGAGCACCAATTATGTCACCGATAGAGCAGCACTTAACTGCCCGCATGGATCATGTGCAGGACCTCTTTGTTGTAATTCGTCGGGCTCTTGAGAGCCTTAATGACTCTTTTTACAGGTTTACTCTACATCAGCACCAGCAGGACCCAAACCCATTTCAATGGCCCACTCCTGAAGCATTCTCAGCCCTTTGTGCTTGGCCTGAGAGCAGGCCTAACTTTCCAGCAGAGTGGCGCTTAACTGACCATATGGGTCATATGGAGGACTTCTTTGCTTCGATTCGTTGGGCTTTTGAGAGCCTTAATGACTATTTTTACAGGTTTACGCTGCATCAACACCAGCAGGACCCTAACCCATTAAATTGGCCCACTCCTGAAGCATTCTCTGCCCTTTGTGCTTGGCCAAAGGGCATAACTATCTTCCCAGAGGAGGAGGAGCATGTTGAGGTTGGAGCTGGTGTGGAAGCTGAAGGAGGAGAGCAAGAAGAGGAAGCGGTTGCTGGTGGAGCTGAGGAAGGCTCTGAGGAGGAAGTCAGTTCTGATGAGGAATATGGGAGTCAGGCTGAATCGATGGAAGAAGATGAGGGAGGACAGTGAAGAGGTTACCACCACCCATGGCCCTGACATTCATTTAGTGTTTTTCTTTGCATTCATTAAAATTCAACACTTTTATTTTTTTAGTTGGTTAATGTTAATAGTTTAGTTTAAAGATTACTTGTTTTGCACTATTTTGGGTATGCTGCACTCTAGGTTGCAGCGGTAGCTGGTATGAGTTATGTTTGAACTAGTTTGAATTTATGGTTTCACATGCACATTAGTATTGTATATGCCAGTTCTTTTGGAAGCATGTTGTTTCGTGTTAGTAACATGGTAGGAAGTATCGGAAGATTCGCGATTCGTATCATACGATACGATATGATTTCGTGGTTCCGCAATTCGAATTGCAGGTCATATCATTTTTGATTATGAATCGTGTTCGAATCGTGTGTATCGTGTTGTGAATCAGAAAATCGCGATTCAAGAAGAAATCGCACGATTTTGGAAGAAGCGGGTCACGTCCGAAACCGGGTCGGGTCATGCGCGACCCGGTTCTGAAAATCCTAAAAAAATATTTTTAAAAAAAAAAAAGCGAAAGTGAGACAAAAAGAGTCGATATTACTCCCTGTACATGACCCACTTAGTGGGTTTCACTTTTTGTGGTCCATTTGCTTCGTCCAAGTTCTTTGCTTCGTTTGGGTTGCTGTTTGGGTTTGCTGTTCATCATGGTCCAAGGGTAAGGGCTTCCCTTCTTGTTGTGTGGTCCATTCCTTCACTTGTTCTCTCTTTTTTTCTTTGTTATTCCCTCTACAACTTACTGGTCCTATCTCTTCACTTGGTAGGCCATTAACAAATGGGTCATTCAAAAAGAGAGTCCGATATCACTTGGAACTATTGTGATAGTATCCCTCCAAACAGACTTCAAGTAAAATGTAAGTTCTGTTTTCATGTTTGTTGGGGTGGTATTTCAAGGATGAAACATCATCTTGCTGGAACAAAGGAAAATGTGATTGCTTGCCCAAGTGTTCCTGATGATGTGAAGGAAATATTTGTGAAGCTCTTGGAAACTAAAGATAAAAAGAAAGAGGATTGCTTGGATGTAGAGAATGGGACAGTAAAAGGAAAAGAGGGAACATCTAAAATTTTCAAACAAAAGACTATTAATGAAGTTTGTAAAGATAAGGAATTTGTGATTCAAGAAATTTGTAAATGCATTTATGGTAATGCATTACCATTTAATTTGGTAAGGAGTCCTCTTGTTATTTAAATGTTGAAGGTTGTTGTAGAATATGGAAGAGTTTTGAAGCCACCAACTTATCATGAGGTGAGGGTTTCTTTTTTGAAGAAAGTTGTTGACAACATCCAAAAAAGCTTAGAGAAACGTAGAAGTGATTGGGAGAAATGAGGATGCACCTTGATGTGTGATGGTTGGACGGATGGGAAAGGAAGATCACTCACTAATTTTCTTGTTAACAGTCCAAGTGGGACTGTTTTTTTGAAATCTATTGATACAAGTGATGTGATAAAGGATGGGAAAAAAATGTTTGAATTGTTAGACAACATTGTTGAAGAAATTGGGGAGGAGCATGTAGTCCAAGTTGTGACGGATGGGACATCTAATCTTGTGGCAGCTGGACAAATGTTAATGGAGAAGAGAACCAAATTATTTTGGTCCCCATGTGCAGCCCATTTCCTTGATCTAATCCTTGAGGACATTGGAGAGCTTCCGGTATTCTATAATACCATTGCTAATGCAAAGAAGATTACTACCTACATATATAAGCATACATGGATCCTTAATTTGTATAGACAATAATCCAATGGAGGGGAATTAGCAAGACCAGCTGTGACAAGATTTGCAACTTCTTATCTTACACTAAATTGCATTAAACAACAAAAGAATGCTCTTAGATCAATGTTTGCATCGGAGGAATGGGCTACTAGTCCACATGCTAGTAAAAGTAAGGCTAAGCAAGTCATGAACCTAGTGTTGAGTGGTGATAGATTTTGGAGATCAATCACATATTGGCTAAAGTGTGATTCCACTTGTGAAAGTGTTAAGGCTTGTAGATGGGCATTCAAAGCCAGCCTCACCATACATTTATGAAGCAATGGATAGGGCTAAAAAGAAAATTGCTAAAAACTTTCAAATGCAAGAGTCAAGGTATAAAAAAGTGTGGAAGATTATTGACACTAGGTGGAATCTGCAGCTTCATAGGCCTCTTCATGCAGCTTCCTATTATCTCAATCCTAGGTAAATTATTTGAAAATAATTGTCATTTTAAGGACTACTATTTTCTTTGTGCCTAGTAGCTAAGTTATTTCTTATTTGGTTAGGTATCATTATGACAAGAACTTCAATCCGGATAGTGAAGTGTTAATTGGTTTATATGAAACCTTTCAAAGAATGGTTCCGGATATAAGGACAAGAGTTATAATAGATCAACAACTTGAAAAGTTTAAGGGAGCTAAGGAGATCTTTGGAATGGACATGGCAATAGCTACTAGAGATAAGAAACAACCGGGTATCCCTTTAATTTTTACTCTTTATTAATATCATAAACATAATACATAATAATTAATAACTACATTTGTAAAATAAATACATTTTTTTTTGTAGCTCTTTGGTGGGAGAGTTACGGTGGAAGAGGTAAAGAGTTACAAAAGGTGGCCATGAGAATTTTGAGTCTTACATGTAGTGCCACGGGATGTGAGAGAAATTGGAGTACATTTGACCAAGTGCATACTAAGAGAAGAAATCGATTGGAGCAACAAAGATTAAATGCACTTGTATATGTCAAATATAATCTTCAACTTGAGATGAGGCAAAATAGTAGAGAAGAGAATGGAGATACCTATGATCCCATATGTTTGTCAGATATTGAATCCAATGATGAGTGGATCACCGAAAAGGAGAATCCTTGCTTGCCTATTGATGCCTCATGGATGGATGTACATGAGTGCTTTGGTGTTGATGACGGAGCTCCAAAGAAGAAAAGAAAGAGAGGTAATTATTTATATTTAAAAGTTAGTTTAGAACTTGGAAGTTGGAATTAGAACTAGACCTTATTATTTTCTTTTGATTACATAGGTCCAAGAAACTTGAATGCCAAGATTGGTAAGGGAAAATCAATAATAGAAGATGAGGATGAAATTGAAGATAATGAATGATCTTGGATAGGGGCTTTTTGTATTTATTTTTTGAGGCTGTATGACTGAATTTGTGTGGCAGTACCACCACTTGTTGCTGAGTTTATGCAGCAACAACACTAATATTTTTTTTGGGTGGCTATATTGTTGATTAGAGTAGCAAACAGTCCCTGGTATATGCATATATTTAGCAACAATGATTTTTTTGGAGGCTTTGTTGTTGAATTGTGCAGTCATTTCTTTTGACTTTGAGACTATTATTATTTCTATAATTGTATCTTTGATTGTATTTTGAAGCTTATATATTACTATATATTTATATATGACTTCATTTTGTCTGTTTCTTTATATTAAAATTTGCTTAGAGGGCTTTTATTTGTCCTGTATGCCTATATATACACTATTTTTTTTTTGATCATGAATCTTACGATTCAGGATACGATTCGATTCACGATTCAAAAAATAAGCTTTCCGATACATTATTTGTATCTGATTCAACTACCATGGTTAGTAATTCTTGAACTCTCATCTTGAATCAAACTCACCATAAGACGACTAGGGTAATTTTTTCAACTATTATCTATTTTTTAATGAACAAGGAACTAGGCATGGGAATCTAACCCGCCTCCTTAGGTATCCCCTCTAACTTGCCTCCGTGGGTACTCGCTCAAATCCGCCCCGATTTAGACGAGAAAAACCCGTGTTTACCGGGTTTGGATTTTTCCCGATTGATAAAATCAGGGGCAAGGGCAGGGAAGGTTTAAATTTGCGGGGGCGAGGGCGGGGAACATAAAACTTGCCCCCGCCCCGTCCCGTTGCCATGCCTACAAGGAACATAAAAAAATAATACATTAATTAGGATAATTTGACGTGTACGAGTCATGCAAACACTAGTTGAGTGTTATCACTGCATCTTTGTCGTTGATATTGCATGAGTCTCTAATTGTCGTTGTGCATGATGATTCATGGATATGATCAAGGTGTTATTCCTTTACAAATTCTTAAATCTTAACCAATGAGCCTTAAAAATTTTGAAAAAAATTCTTTATTTGACAAGCCTTGAGCCTTAAAAAGAAAAGCCAAGAATTCCTTTCCCTCACTTAGGGATCATGAGAGCATAAATGATTTGTGGATGAAATCTAGAATTGGGGAAGGATATATGGGGGGTTGAATTAGGGATTTGTGTAATTAGAACATTAAAAAAAAAATTCTCTCTTGTGCTAGGTGTAAATGTCTCCCTTTTTATTTTTAATAATAAAAAAAGAAAATGGAGAAAGAAAAGTGATTGTATGCATGTCTATATAGTTAGAAGAGAAAGAGAGTAATTTCTCCCTTCTATAAACAATCAGGGTTGTTTTTAAAGAAAAGGAAGATAATGGAAATTTGGTTTCATTTCAGAATTTGGAGCGGAGGAAGAAATTTGAAGTTGTACTGATTTGAAACATCATTTATGCTTTCTAAATCTTCGAGTGCTTTGATTGACTATCCAAAAAAAAAAGCATTATTCTTTTATAATCCAAGCCAAGTTACAAATCTACAAAGACCTTAGTAATCCATGTTGATTCGTGTATATTTGAGATGATAATCAATTTTGACTTCGATCTGGTGTGTGGATAGAGTGCAAGATTCACCCTGATTAGAGAGATACACTTTTGGAAAGGAAATCCTTGAGTGATTGCTTGACACTGAAATACCAATTACATTGATTCTTGTTGGTGTTTGACCTTGTGTGACTTTGGTATGTCTATGTTGTGGGCACCAAATTGAGTGAAAGAGAACATATTCCCTTCATTGTGAAAAAGAGTGGAGGATTGCATCCTAATGCTGGTCTTGATTTGCCTCAAATTTCATGTGTTGTGAAGTGTTTTATTTAGGTATAAGTATCAGGCTTAGATGACTTCATAGGAGCAAGCAAAGTTAGATTTGATAGAGTCGTTAGTTGTTATTTTTACTTGAATTCATGTATATTATTTTGTAAAATGGCATTCTTTCGCTTCTTTTATCTTTCACCCACAAAAGTTGACAAGATCTCTACCATCTGAATCTGGGAATTGACTGAGTCACAACCGTAAGTAGTTTTGAGATCTTTGCTTCTAACTACACTAGTATTTTTGTAGTGTATATTTGCTTATTTACAAAAGCATTTTTTTTAACTACAAA